GATATGTATATAAACCTATATATAAAATGCATTTATCTTTAAGGATCAACATGAATATATAATAGATCGTTTAGTTAGATACGTGAAATCTATTTTTATTATGAAGAAGCCGAAAACGCACCAATGGTAAAATATATAGAAGTTATACACTTAGCTCGAATGGATAGAGTTACACACCTAAAAGTCCTTTATCCTGTAAATAATGAAAATAAAACTTATTTGAGGTAAACAAAATATCGATGGGATCTAAAAGAATGTATTCAGTCCATACTTTGCAACATATTACCTGTAAGAATTGTCTATTCTATAAAGAATGGTCATGATTTCTATTTCTGACTTTCCTATATTTTTGCAGTACTTACGTATATAATTCTTTTGTAGCATAAATAATAACAATCTATTAATGTAAACTATATACAATAGGAATGCTTTATATGCATAGTGTATTTCTATACTATTATTATACATTTCACAATATTGTTATTTTATTTGATATTTAAAAAATAATATAAGAGTGATTCACATATAATATTCCAAAACATTTTTTTTCAAGACCCAATTATTGCACACACACATATAATTATATATATATCAATATTATTTTTCATTGTGCTGCTTATGAAAAAAAATCACACTTAAATATTGGTAATAATTGGAAAATAGAAAAAATGGATTGTGTGATATCCATTATCATAAAAAACATGTAATCGGATCTGAATTACATTTTAAATCTTCATTATTATTATTATTATTATTATTATTATTATTATTATTATTATTATTATTATTATTATTATTATTATTATTATTATTAGTGTCAATATTTATGCATATTGCTTCTTGTCTAATAGGTATTTACATATTCATAACAATAATCATCAATTATTCAATTTTCTTAGATGATAATATGGCTATTATAATAAATCCAACTACATCAATGCTAAGTACTAAAAATGGAAATCATAAAAAGACTGTAAATGTTTCTGTACCTCACTATATTACTACCCATAACTATTTGACTATTCCAACAAAAAAGAATCAGCCATATGAATCAAAGCCTCTTCTATTCTTTTCACCTGATGTTCATGATGGCACGATGACAGATCTTACCATTTCTCTGAATTCACAAGGTCATTCAATCTACTTCTATAATAATAAGGGTGCTTTGCCTATTTATACTGGTTTACGCGAAGTAACTCTCAGTGAGGAGGAGTACTTACAATTGAGTGGTACAAAGAATAAATCTAGAATCATTTTTGCTTCTCGAGAAGTATGTAAAACATCAAAACTATTTGCATATAATATGAAGTCTGTTGAACGCCTCTGGTGGACATTTCATAACGATACTCTGTTTAAACGTGCTGATGCTATCATTTGTATGTTCTATCCATCGGAATGTCAAAACTATTTAGCATTTAACAAAACAGTTATATTCATGCCTGCTCACCGTTTTCTCATCAAACGATGTTCTTCAAATGATTCAAATAGCCTCATGAAATGGATGTTCAATAAGCCTAAAGCTCCTATTATTGTAATGGCTGCAGGAAAGTATGATGCAGAATACATCAACTATTATTCTGGAAAGAATGTGGACTACATAATTGCGTCTACAGTACTCATGTATTCCCCGCCTAAATATTATTCACCGAAATACAATGAATATTTGTATGCTCCATTTAAAAGAAATCCATTTTATCAACAGTATAGCACACAAATACCTGAAGCTTGTAACTCGTCTAATTTTGAGTGTCCTGTTGTCCATATTCGAGAAAAGATAAAAGGAAGGTTCACATATTCTGATATCAATTCATTTAAGGCAGTGATTGTATTTCCATATGCTGTTTTATCCTATTATCTCGCAGATTTGATTACTGCTGCTATTCCAATGTTTGTGCCTTCACCATCATTTATCGTTCAAAATAAGATTAGTTATGATATGAAAGCAGGAGATCCTTCCTACTGTGGAAAGAGATTTCAGGAACCTCCTCGACATCCTAATTCAAAACACTTGTATTCACCTGAGGATTCTTCAGAAGAGGCCACTGAATATTGGCTTCAATATGCTTCCTATTATACTCCATGCTCAATCATTTTCAACAATATCTCGCACCTAGTTGAGTTGATGAAAACAACGAATTATTCTCATGTGTATGAATGCAATTTGAAGTATCGCCAACATATTATCAATCACAACAAAATGCAATGGAATAAGTTGTTTCAAAAAATACAAGTAAATAGAGTAATGCCCACTAGTTGGAATGAATCGTTGAATTGGTTTGGAGAAACAAGTTTTTACTAAAGTGGATATATAAATAATACAATATATAATATTTTTGTGAAAGAATTATATGTGGATATTTCATATGGATCGTTTTTATTTTTTTTGAGCACGTTTTCTTTCTTATATTTGATTGTTTGTTTTTCTACACTCAAATCATTTTTGTTGCTTTCATTTATATTGAATATAAATAATAAATAGTATTCATCATTATAAGTCACAAAATAACAATTAATGCAATAGAACCAGCGATTCTTGTGATGCGGTGATATAAAATTACGATTCTATTTTATTTGTATTCCTAAACTATTAATAATCAAACTTATTATCATAGATAACTCAATACTAAGCTATCAGAATTTTAAAAGTGAAAAATAGCATATTATATGAATCACGTGACTCAAATTCTCAATATTTGTCCACGTGTTTCGGATCCATTTTTCTCAAAACTCAATTTTTCTCTATCAATACTTGGCAATATATTTTTTTCATCATTAAATAAGAAACTATATATAGTTATGTACACAAATAAATTACTAGGAAGTCATTCGACTGCATCCGTATACACATTTGCTCGAAAAAAGGCTTAACTTAGAAAAGGTGCAATTCCTTTCAAGTAACAAGAATATAATTTTTAATTGTTTAAAAGAGGTCTGGTAGTGAAAATATTCACGAAACAAGTTTTGGAAAAAGCAATCGATTCTTTTTTCAAAATAGCATGCTTATTTATTTTTATTGTTCATATTGACTTATTGGAAATGTATCACACCCCTTGGAGAATCGATATAAAATACAAAAAGAATTTTTGCTTTTGTTTTTGCCATCATCATAATGACAAGCTTATTTTTCACTTATGATGATATATATTTATGTAAATATGTATTGCAATCATTTCTGCTATGTTATACAATCAGCCAATACGTCAGAATGAAATTGCTCTATTTTCTTATATTAAAGCGAAAAATCCTTGAACATTTGATTCAATACATTATTCTTATGAATAGTACTATTTTTGTACCATATATTAAATAGTACTGATTATTGCTTTTGTCC